TGTTTGTTAAATATATATATAACAATTATACAAACTTAATATATTTTTTCGGCTATTGAATGTAAAAATAGTTTCTGGATGGGCTAAAAGGAAACAAAGCCCAATAATAGCTTGTTTGGATGATTGTTGCCTGTTGTATTGTATCGTATTGTTATTTTAAATATAATATTTGTTTTGATTGGTACTTAAATTTTATTGTATTGTATTGTTAAATTTGTCGTTACGTAACAATGAAAAGTGTCACTTTATGGAAGGGCCGATTTGGTGTGGTCGCGTCATTACCTTTTTTTTTTTCTTATCATCTTGCCCTTCCTTACTATTAAATAATTATTATATTTTATACATCCTTTACCCTACCTATTTTTATGATAACTCTATATATTTTGTATCCTACTTTTTCTTTATAATATTACAAGTTTATTCTTAATACTGTTGGTACATGACATTATGAAACGATGAAAAATAATACAATATATTCAAATATTGTACATATCAAAACGATGCAGTACAATACAAACTACTAAAAATTCGGTAAAAACCGACCAATTTTGGTTGGTAAAAAAAACGGCTAAAAATCCGACCAAAGTTGGTCGATTTTTCAAAATATTTTTTTTTTTTTACGAAACCGACCAACTTTGGTTGGTTTTCTTTGGCGCAAAAATGCGGGAAACTATTTTTGAGTCCCACGAAATTTATTTTTCAAAAAATCGACCAACTTTGGTCGGTTTTTCATTTAAAACAAATTAAAATTAATATTAAAAAAATGACCGAAATCGGTTGGTTAATTCGGCCGGTCATTTTAAAAACCGACCAACTTTGGTCGGTAATTTTATATTTTTTGTGCAAAAATACAGTTAAAGAGTATAAGTGATATAAAGGACAGCCTTAAAACAAAATGCATAAATGGTCTAGTGGTAGAATAGTATCTTGCTGCAGTACAGACCCCGGTTCAATTCCCAGATGGTGCATTTTTTAATTACATAATTAAAATACCAACCAACTTTTGTCCGAAAAAACCGACCAACTTTTGTCGGTTTTTTCGACAATATTTTATTTTTTTAATTTAATTGACCGACCAAAGTTGGTCGGTATGCCCTTCCGACCTTCAAAATACCGTCCACACGTAAATGGTCGCGTTTTGGACGGTTATTGGCCATTACCGACCAATTTTGGTCAGTTTTTTTGGACGTTTTGCCCGGATTTCTAGTAGTGACAATACTATACGATACATAACAACCATCCAAACAAGTTGTAAAAGACGAGGTAGATTTTTTATTGGAAAATATCATTATAAAGTACAAATTATTATTATATAAAATTTTATTATATCACGGAAAAATTATCAAATAATATATATTTTGATCTCGTGATTAAGGTTATGGTACAAAAGTTGTTAACTGTATGGGATCGCGTAACTTTGCAGAAGTTATTCACTGCGAACGCGGTTATCCGTGATAAAGGTTTGTTAACTATATATAAAATTTTATTATATCGTGATTAAGGTTATCTGTATGCGATCGCATATCTTAAATATTTTCTTTAGAAATAGACATACTACTCCATCAAAGGATGTGAAGAAATTTTCCAAGTATAAAATGAATGAGTAAGCAATAAAGGCTAAGGAGAGAAAAATATGCAAAGTGTATAAGCACTTTGTATGGAAAAATCTTTGATAGGGAGGCTTCCAAATAAAATTTATACAATACAAATCCAAATATAATCAAACTTCAATAAAAATATCGAATGTCATATAAGAAATAAAATAAAACAAAGTATAAGCACTTCTCATCAATCCTTTGTCGAACTACAAATCTAAAAACAAAACGACCCCTATTTTACAGCTTATCCGTAATTCGTAAGTAACATAATAGCTCCACCTCATTTTCTGTACGTATTCTTCCTTTTTCAATTTATAAGTTTATATGATTGTCTAATTAATAAAACTAATTAATCGTTATTCATGCCGTAAAAAGCTTATTTTAAGTAATTAAAGATAAATGAATACTTATAGACTTTAATTTTCAACCTAGTACTTTAATATTTTTACTGTGATCACTAGCATAGAAATCAAATTGACGTATGATATCATATTCAATGTTGCAGCATAGATCGGTAAAAATTGCTTTAGACTTCGTATCACAAGTGTACGTAGTATTCTTGCATTTTTTTTAAAAATCTTTTGTTAGAATTTTTTAGTTCATCACTAGCTCTCAAACTAATACTTAAGCTTTTAACTCAATCAATAACCTATCTATTGGACCGGCTATCTTCTTAATTTTCGATTCCCTTGTTTTTGGCAGGAAGAGTTCCAGCTTTTGTTACCCTCGATAGAGTGAGTCTACTTAGCGAAGTGGCAGGACGATGTACGAGTCAAAATCTATCTCTAGAATCCAAGTAAAAAATGATATCGGTGAAACATTCCCAGGTCGCCATGGGTCGAAATGATCTAATAACGAAGGCCGTGGTTGAAGAGTCAGCAAAGATCGAAATGAGGAGTCGTCAATGATCGATGTCGAGGTGGCATACCCTTGACATATTTATAACGGCTAGTTTCAAGATAGTGCATGAAAAAGAATATTCTAGTGGATATTCTCTTCAATTGTTCTGTTAAGGTTTCTAGGAACATGTTCCCTATAAATAGAAAGTGACACAATAATCGGGAAGGGGAGATATTCATTTTGTAACAGATACTTTGACTCAAGTGAGAGAAAATCGGGTTTCATCACAAACACACAAAAACAACATTTTCATTAAGATTCCTGCTTATATTTTTTCCACTAGATCCGAGAATATCTCGGACATTCAAAGAGTTATCCATCATTCTCGGTTGTAAGAAGGAATATTTATTGCTTTCATCCTTTCTTGGGTGACTCCTTTGTATTTATTTATATAAATGCCATTTATTGTTGTTTATCATTATTTAATGTCATATTTACTTTTGTTTGGGTTCTTAAATATTAGTTATTGCACTTTTTCATAGCTTTTGGGACAGAAATGTAGAAAAATATCAGTTATTTGTCATAGTTCCGAGAATTTCATCTTTGGGATATTATTTTAAACTAAGATTAGCCCTCACTTATACAAATTTAGTTAGTTGAACCAAAATAAATATTTTTTGGTTATACAGGCGCAAAATTATTAGTCAATATGAATCTCGAGAACGGATAATTGATTGCTGCCTCGATTCATCTTATGCCACGATGAAATAGCCTTCTTTTCTAGCTGTTACTTCCAACAAGTAAAAAATTTCATTTTGTGTACTCCTTCTGTTATAATTTAGATGATACACTTTCTTTACTAGTTCATTTAAAAAGAATGATACATTTTTACAATTGGAAATAATTTAACTTTAGACTCTTCATTTTACTCATTTTATCCTTAATGAGAAACTTTATAACCACACAAACGTCATGGCCCAACAAAGCTTTTACCACTTAAGTTTTTAAGACTGCAAGTTTCGAAAGGTTTTTTTTCCCTTAAATTTTGTACCGAATCAAACTATCTCATCTAAATTAAAACGGAGAGAGTAAAAATTTTGAAATCTTATAATTCTCATCCCCATTATTCATTCCCCTATTAGTATATAAAAATTTTCTTAAAAGAAAAAGAGGCGAAGTGAATAAATAGGATAGAAGATGTCAGCAGTGACCTCGTTTTCTGTTTTCTGTCTTTTTTGTTTTTTTATGCGACTAAAAGGCGTTCGTCAACACTAAGCTGACTGCTCAACCTTTGCGGCGCAATGGATGACGACTTTCCCCTTTATAACACCGTTGATTTTTTGCATAAATAGGATCTTTGGACATAAAGAATTGTAAAATTTAAAAAAAAAAGTGAAAAAAATTTTCAAGTGAAAATGCTATTTGAAAATTAGAGTTGTGTTTGAACATAAATATAATTTTGGATTATTTTTGAAATTTTGTAAGTGATTTGAGTGGAAATTTTGGAAAACAATTTTTAAAAATTTTTCAAATTTTTAAAAAATTTCAAAATTTATCTTCAAATAAAAATTAGAATTTTTATAATCAAACACTGATTTCGAAAAAAAATAAAATAAAAATTGAAAAAATTTGAAAAAATTCTTATATCCAAACAGGCTCTTTGATGTCGCTTTTGACTTTTTTGATCTCCATAGGCAAAACTTTAAATTTAATAAGCATTTTCTCTTGTTTGTATTATGGATAACACTTTTTGACCTTAAAAATTTGTTCATGGAACACGGTGCAGCATATGCATCTTATTGCATGCGATATCACAGGACGTTGCTTCGTTAATTTTTTTTATCAGATAAGTATAAAAAACGAAACTATTGAAGATAAATATAAAAAATAATACTGATTATCATTATAATGATTTATTTATTAATCTATTTCTTCAAATTGTGACTCTACTTAATAAATACTTATGTACACCAGTGGGCAAGCGAAAAAATCAAGATCCTACATTTTAAGGCTATTGGG